TAACATCAATACTTGGGAAAATCCTGGAAAAGATAATCAAAAAATATATCTGTGAGCAACTAGAAGCAAATAAAGTTATAACTAGTAGCCAGCACGGGTTTGTTAAAAACAGATCATGTCAAACCAATCTTATTTCATTCTTTGATAAAGGGACTAATTAGTAGACCAGCAAAATGCTGTGGACATAGTATACTTACGGTAGATTTCAGTAAGGCATTTCACAAAATAGACCACAACCAACTTCTTGGTATGCTAGAAAAATGTGGACTAGACCAGGGATCCCCAACCACCGGTCCACGGACCGGTACCGGTCCGCGGAACAAGTCCTACCGGGCCGCTGGTTGCTGGGCGCCGCCATCTTTTTTTGATGAAAAAGTGCTTCCGGTGAGCTTTTCCGGGTAGAAAGCTCACCGGAAGCACTTTTTCATCAAAAAAAGATGGCGGCGCCCAGCTGATGCCGGTACCGGGCCGCAGCGCCCAGCTGATGCCGGTACCGGGCCGCGGCATAAAAAAGGTTGGGGATCACTGGACTAGACAACATCACCAGATCGATTTGTAGCTGGCTGACAACCCATACTCAATGAGTACTACATAATGGTACTACATCCACATGGAGAGAAGTAAGCAGTGGGTACTACAAGGCTCCATCCTAGGGCCAATATTCTTCAATATTTTCATAAATGACTTAGTTAAGGGAATAGAAGGGGAACTCATCCAATTGGCAGATGACACTAAGCTGGCAGGAATAGCCAACACCCCAGAAGACAAGCTCAGGATCCAAAAAGATCTTGACAGACTTGACAGTGGGCCTTATCCAACAAAATGAAAAATCAAAGGTATAATTACAGATTAGGCAAGACCTGGCTCAAAAACAGTAACTGTGAGAGGAACCTTGGCATCCTAGTGGATGATCATTTGAATATGAGCCAGCAGTGTGCAGCTGCCACCAAAAAAGCTAATACAACCTTGGCTTGTATAAACAGAGGCATAGAATCAAGATCACATGAAGTATTAGTACCACTTTATAAAAACCTAGACCACACCTGGAATACTGCAACATATTTTGATCACGATACTACAAAAAAGATGTTGAGACTTTGGAAAAAGTTCAGAGAAGAGCAACTAAGATGATCAAAGGCCTGGAGACTAAAACACATGAAGAACGGCTGCAGGTTTTGGATTTGGTTAATCTAAAGAAAAGAAGAATTAGGAGGTGACATGATAAAAGTATTTCAGTATTTGAGGGCTACCCACAAAGAAGAGGGGGTCAAATTATTCTCCAAAGCACCAGAGTACAGCACAAGAAACAGTAATTGGAAACCAATTGTTAGGAATGATAATTACCTAACAGTTGGGCTGGCAATATATAAACCAAGATAGTCATTTAATACTGTTGTATCTTTAAGAGAATGTTGTAATTGTGATTGGCTGAGGTTCCTCCAATGGCCCTTAGGTTGGAGCCAGAAACCTGGTTTGTTCTTCTTGCATTTCTCTGTTGCCTTTTGCCTGATCATCATTCTGCTTGGATTGCTGTGAGTCTTGCAACTGTTAGCAAACTCCGTTTACTGAACTTTGTTTATGATACTGGTAAAGAAAAGAACTTCATTTTTTGACTATCCCTGGACTGATTTTTTGAATACTAACTGCTTTAACCGTGTATGATTTGGACTGTTTGCTGGACTTCGTTTACTCGTTTACTGGAAGTAAAACCTACATTTTACTATTCAGTGTATCTGTGTGCTGGTTGTGTGTTATTCAACACCACTCTCACTATGTTTCCCTGAGCGCATTCATTCTCCTAACGGGGAATACCTCAACACCAATGAAAGAGAGAAGCAACCTGCAATCAAGGAGAAACTTCCTGACAGTGAGGACAATTAACCAGTGGAACAGCTGGCCTCCAGAAATTGTGGACACTCCAACACTGGAGGTGACTGGACAGTCACTTGTCTGAAATGGTACAGGATTCCCAGCTTGAGCAGAGGGCTGGACTAGAAGACCTCCAAGGTCCCTTCCATTCTATTGGATCTGGTTTCCCCATTGACTCTGCTTGTCAGAAGGTTGCAAAAGGGGATCATGTGATCCCTGGACACTGTCCAAATTTTGAATGCTGCAATGGTCGTAAATGTGAAAAACGGTCATAAGTCCCTTTTATCAGTGCCGTAGTTACTCTGGTCACTAAATGAACTGTTGTAAGTAAGGACTGCACACCAGAGCACTGCACACCAGAACAACTAGACACAAGTTTTTTCCCCAAACACCATCACTCTGCTAAATAAATAATTCCCTCAACACTGTTCAACTATTTACAAAGTCTGTATCACTATTGCTATTAATCTTCTCATCACTCCTTATCACCCATCCCCTGCCACTTGACTGTATGATTGTAACTTTGTCATTTGTATCCTTACGATTTATATTGACTGTTTCCTAGTATGATTTGATTGCTTATTGTACCCTATGACTATCATTGTTGTACCTTATGACTCTTGACTCATGTATCTTTTCTTTTGTGTACAATGAGAGCATTTGCACCAAGACAAATTCCTTGTGTGTCCAATAAAGAATTCAATTCAATTCAATTCAATTCAATTCTATGGGACAACCTATACAGTTGTACCTGTTGCATTTGGCATGGCATTTTACAGTCTGTTCTGTAGAATTGCAGACACTTTTTCCTTCCTTCAGGAGAAGCACAACCATGTGCCAGAATCAATCCTTGTGTAAATAATATTATAAATATGGTACAGCTAGTTCATAAAAAAATTCAACGTGTGGATTCTTTAATTCACCAATAGAACAATAACACAACCATCAGAGATTTAAGACAAACAGTAAAAACAGCAGCATGACAACTGTGAGGTCAAAAGTGTAGAAAAGGCACATGAACATCGGTAAGCAGAGAGGAGCATCAATTTAAGAGTCCCTCCCATGCTTTCAAGGTCAGCCACTGTGGAAAAGGCCTCCTCGGAAATTAATTGATCAATGTATTCAGTTTTAAAACTCAGAAGAGATCCAGAATGAGAGTTTGTTATTAATACTCAATGGTTTACTCTCTCTCTGTGTGTAGGAGTGGGTGGGTGTAGCTATTAAATCAGTACCTATTTATTTATTTATTTATTTGATTTGATTTGCCAATTGTTTACAAGATAATAAGTATAAGTGTATACATAGTTGTGAATACATGAAATGGGTACATATAAGAAAAATAAAAGAAGAATAAGAGAAACAATAGGACAGGGACGGTAGGCACGTTGGTGCGCTTATGCATGCCCCCTACAGACCTCTTAGGAAAGGGGTGAGGTCAATAGTAGACAATCTAAGGTTAAAGTTTTTGGGGTTCCTTCTACAAAAAGAATTGCACTCCAGAGGGTGTTAATTTATATCTAGCTCAATCTGCTGATTTATGTAAATAGATGCAAAGCCAAAACAGGAGGGAAGGAAGTGTGATACAAAATAAGCAAGTGAGAGATCTTTCTGTTTGTGGTTCTTTGCTTCCTTCTCTGCTTTATCCCCACTCAATTTTTTGTGCTCTTGGCTGAACAGAACTGCAAAGTGAAGCATGCAAATAAGTTGCTCTCCCAGTGGTAAGATTCAACCGGTGTAACAACTGGTTCGGTGAGTGCGCGCTTCTTCTTCCTTGTTGACATAAAGCTGTTTCCATTCATTGAAGGATTTTCTGTTAGTTACCATGGAAGAAAGCACTACAGTTTGCTAACGATTTTGCAGCAAAGGTCAAAGGGCATTTCAATTAGCCAGTAATCCCTGCATTGTTTAGCAGCCAGTTCCTATGGGTGTGTAAAAATCTGACACTCTGTCCATCTATCCATCATCAAGGAAGTGCGACAGCTGCCTGGATAACTCTCCTGCAATTTCCTTGGCAAGACTTCACAGGTGGTTTGCCCTGGTCCCTTTTCTAGGGCTGAGAGTCACTGGGCTAAGCGCTCAACTGTGCCTAAAGCGGAACTAGAACTCACAGCCTCCCAGTTTCTAGCCTGGCACCTTAACCAGTAGACCAGGAATGTCCAACTTGGCAACTTTAAGACCTGTGGACCAAGCCCCAAATTTCCCAGAAACTGCCATGTCTGGATGCTCCTGCCTTAGATTAAACTTAGGAGCTTCATTCCTCCACCAGCTTTGGACACTGAACTTAAATTTGACTTAATTAGAACGTTATGAGTACATTCATCTTCTCAAACTGGACCGATTCTGACCCGTTTCTTCCTCCAACTAGTACATTCTTTGCCAGGAAGGGATCCTCCTTGAGAGCCATCTCCAACCTAAGCCCCTGCCCAAAGTCCCCCGTTCCTGGTCCTCTGATTGGGATGAAGGACCTGTTGCCTTCCACGCGATACTACCTCAGCCCTCCGCATCAGCCCAGCCAGGGACGTTTAATGCCCCCTGGGGAGGGCGGGAAAAGAGGGCTCCGCTACCACAGGGAGGCACCGCCTGTATGCGCCCAGCCGCCTTTGGCTCTTGCCCAAGCCAATCCCCGCAGGCACAAAACTCGCAGCTCAGCGGGAGTAAGGCGGCTTTCCCCGCTCCTCATGGATCTCCTGGGCGGCTGGACCGGCGGTCTCCCGCCTCCTACCGCAAAGGCTCCCTGCGTGCAAAGCGTGCCCCGGGCGCCCCGCCTGCAGCATTTCCACGTGCAGCGAAGGCCCCACTTCCTTCTTCTCTCCCTTCCGTCCCAGAAGGCGCCCCCCTCCCCGGCCGTGGGCGAGCCTGGCTGCGCCGCTACACGCCGGACTACACGGGACGAAAACGGCCGCCCCGCCCCGCCCCGCCTCGCGGGCCGCCCGGCTGCCTTCCTTGAGCTGCTAGCTTGCGGCGTGCAGGGGGCGCAGGCAACCCCGCTGCCCCCGGAGCGGCCGCGTCTCCAGCCCTCCCCGGCCCGCAAGTGCCGCCTTCCGAGAGGCGGAGCGGGCCGCCCCGCGCAGCCAATCTCCGGCGCCCCGGCCGCTAGTCGGGCCGAGCCCAGCGCGTCGGCGGGGGATGCTGCTAGACTGGCGGCGGCGGCGGAGCGGGGCCAAGGCAGGGCGCGGACTGCGCGGCCACATTGTTGCGTCCCTGCTAAGTCTGGGCGGCGGGCGAGTCCTCGCCGCAGCTACAGCTCCGCGGCCTGGGAAGGCAGAGCGCGGCGGTGGGTTCCTCGCCCCGATCCCTGCTTGGCTGGAGGACTGCGAGGCCGGAGGAAGCGCGCGGGGGAGGGCGAGCGCGGGCTGGGCAGGGCAGGAGGCGCCCTCCCTCTCTTCCCCTTCCCTCCAGGCGTTGACCTTCCGGCTCTCCCTCACCCCAGACGCTGGCAGGAAGACAGGTGGTTTTGCCCCGCCTTGTATTTCCCCCGCCCGCCCTCTGCTTTCCCTCGCTTCTCCCCTCCTCGCTGCTCCCCAAGCGCCCTCCCTCGCAGGGGCGTCGTGCAAAGGCGGAGTCCGCCCCAACCCCTTCAGCTGCCAGCAAGCGCCAGAGTTCGGACAGCCGCTTTCCCGACCTGGCGGCCGTTGGCTGGTGGGGCTGAGGCCGCCTTAGTGGGGTTCTTGGGGTGCTGGCTTGGCCTGGGATACCGGGCGGTGGGGGGAGGAGTAGTCCAGGCGGTTCCAAACAGGCAAAACTTGCCTCTGGTGGGTGGTAGCGCTGGGCGGGGCAGGTGATCAAGGAAGGGCCCGTGGCTAAGTGACGGTTGTCTCGTTTTCTTCCCAGCTTCTGCTCCTGGGGTCTTCTGAGCCCCCTCCCGGCTCCCGAAAGATGGCAGGCAGTCTGTGGAGGAAGGAGTCCTGAGTTTCATGGTTCGCCCCCTGGATGGTGTCCTCACTTTGATCTTCTCTAACTTGCCCCCACTCCCTCCTCCCAGCCCAGGCGAGGAGGGGCCCTGGACCATGAGTCGCTACAGCTTCTCCAACCTGATGGACTGGATGTATGGCGGGGTGGACCCCAGCTTTGAAGGCAACGGGGGCCGCGAGTGTGCTGCCTTCCTCCCTTGGGAGCAGCGTCTGCTAGAGAGCGTGGTCTTCACCATCATGGGCATTCTGGAGATCCTGGTCTCTCTGCAGAAGATCAGAAGGTCCACGGCCCGGGAAGCTGCTGACCTCTTGGCTCAGTCCCGGGTCAAGGGGGAAAGTTGGGGCAAAAATCTCTTGCTGGTGACCCTCTGTCTGACTTTCGGACTTGAAGTGGGATTCAAGTTTGCCTCGAGGACGGTCATCTACTTGCTGAACCCTTGCCATGTGGTTACGATGATGCAGGTAATGAACTGTCTTCCTCCAGATAGTTTGAACTACCAGTAGAAGCTTTGTATTTGTAGCTCAGTATTTGAACTGGGGGATTCCTGATGCTCTCCAAACTTGGTGGTTTTCTTGCAGACGTTTCAGATCCAGCTAGGTAAAGGAATCTCTGCAAGAAAACCAGCAAAATCAGAGAGCACTAAAGACACTAAAGGTTTGTGCTACAACTACCATCGGCCACAGCTATCTAGGCAGCCTCAAGATGGGCAGGGCTGCTTGAAATATGGAAAAGGCCTTTTGTATCCAAAGAGGCAGCTGCTTTTACTTTAGCCAATAGTTCTTTTTGCATTCCCTTCTTTTTATCAGTGCCAAATGTTACTTTGCAACTGGTCTTCTTAGCAAAGAGGTGAGGCTGGGAGAAAGAACAGATCCAGCATTCAGCTGCTTGAGAGAATCCAAATCTCTTTTGTGGTCTCTGAAAAACTACAAGGCTGGTGCCAATTGGGTCTGCCGAGGAGGCTCTTTTAGGACCAATCTGTGGGCTGGTTTCTCTCCCCCCCCCCCAGTCAAATGAGGAATTTAGGAATGTGAGTTGAATGTTACCAGCTGTTTTTGTGTAGTAGTTTTAAGAAGAGACTGGACAGCCAGCCACTTGTCTGAAATGGTATAGGATCTCCTGCTTGAGCAGGGGTTGGACTACAAGACCTCCAAGGTCCCTTCGGACTCTATTATTCTGTATTTGAATTATGACCATAGTTGGAAACAGAATTTCTATTGTGAAGTAATGTGGCTGTTAAATGAGTTGTGTCCGATTATACAACTTGTGTATTTTTGCCACAGTTCTTAGGCAGTTCACATGCCAGTTGCCAAATGTTGATCATGTGACTGTAGGGATGCCGAGACGGTTGCAATGTGAGGACCAGTAGTTGTCCCAAAGGTGCTGTTTCAAAAGGCAACTGGACTTTCTTGATTTTTTTTCTTTGAAAACATTTTGCTTTTCATCAAGAAGTTTCTTCAGTTCAGCAAGTGGACTTGTTTGTTTTCATCCAGTTTTTCTAACAGCAACATTTCTTTAAGCAAGGAGGCCACTGGGCTTTTATACTTTGATCAGCAGTGAGTTCAGTCAACTTTTGTTTTCCAGTGGGGAATGTATGAAATCCAAAGTCCATACGGTTAGCAAAGTAATTTCCACTGGTCCAATCTTCAGTGTAGTCGTTTGTCATCTTTCAGTTTGCGCGGAAAAAGTCATTGCTACCAGGTGCACAAAACCAAACAGAACTCAAAGGGAGATCTGTGGGAAAGGATACGAAATTAAACAAGCGTAGAGTTTGTTTTAGTCTTAACTTGGTGATAGTGGAACTGTCCATGATTAGGACTGGGCTGGAAAGAAAGTGACAGAATGACAAAAAAGCCAGGGAAACAAGGAAGATTAAATTCTCAGTTTTGGAGGCATTGAGACTGCAGTGAAATATAAGAAAGTCAATCACCCAAAACCCCACATTCCAATCTCATTTTTTGGGGTCACCAGAACCCCACCACACTTGCTGCAATTTGGTGAGAAGGTATCACTGCCTCTCTCCATAAGACTGTTCGCTTGAAATGGTGTGATGTTTTACTATTTTACTACAAATCACGATTTTGCAGAGAATATGCCAAAATATATTGGACTACTAGATTGAACTGCATATATTATTTAGACTGGTTTTTTTTCCAATTATTTTGAATATTGTGATGTATCTATTGGTCTGAGCAAACCTTGAAAGTAAAGAGAGGTATATAATACAAGAAGGTAAAGAAATTAAATTAATCTGAACTAAAAATAGATGCTCTTGAAAAAGTTTATGCAAAATTCTCTCCCCCTCCCCCCATTTCTGCCAAAGGATCATTTATGGTGGAGACCAGTTATCCAACTTTGGTGATTCCTAGATGTGCAGATAAGCAACTCCGATAGCAATGGCCCTATCAGGGAATTCTGAGAGTCGAAGGCCAGACATCTGGAGGTAGCCAAGTCTTAGCAACAAGGCGAAGGGATTGAGCTTTGAGACTACCGATCCCATAATCGCTTGCCATTGGTCCTATAGTTTATGGCTGATGAGAGTTGAAATCCAACAGGTCAGGAGAATCAAAGATAAGTTCTCCCACTGGCGTAGATAATGCTATTAGCAAACCGGAAGCCCATTAATAAAGCTCATTGATGGGAACTCCAGATAGTGATGAATTCCAGGTGCCAGGAGGCTCATCTACAAAATTAAGGCAATGGTGCGTTGTTACCATAATCCATAGTTAGTCATCCTACTATAATTCTAGCACTTCAGGGTTTTTCTTAAAATCTTTTATGAAGATAAGAATGTTTTTACCCCACATATCACTGGTGTCAAACTTGCGGTGTCATGTTACTGTCACGTGACTTTTGCAATGTTTTCCCCATTAGTGGAGGTGGGGTGGGGGTGGGCGTGGCCTCTGCGTGACACAACCTTAATCCAGCACGGTCACTGGACCTTCAGTGATTCTTTCCAAACATAATTATTTCTAGCAATTTCATTGGGAGAACAACATTCTCTCTTTTTCTAATTTAAAACAAAAACTTTTTTTAAAAAAGTTAAGATAATTTCTGAAAATAGGCAACCTTAGTAAGAGGTACCAAGCAGAATATGTTGAGTTGTTTTCATGATATTAAAAAAGAAATGTAATTTTTGAGCTTAATAACAAAAATAATAACAAAACCTGTGCTATATTGTTAGATATAAATATTTAAAAACAGAAGCAAAAAAGAAAAAAAACAGCCTTAAAAATAACATAGGTAAATATTTAATTTCTGCTTCCCCTTCTTCATTCTCTAATCAGTTTTGCAGGACCTGCTGATGTATATTTTAGAAACCACACTTCAAGTGACTCTATTTCCCTTGCTGTGCAATACACAATACAAAATAATAGCATCATGCTTTTGCTTTTCTTGATGTTTGGCACAAAGACCGCAAACAAGTCAAATCCATTTGCTAAAGCCAGAAAAAATACATTGTAGTAACCACAAGGAACTGTGAATGGATGATAAAAATCTACAGATAGTCCTTGACTTACAACCACAATTGAGCCTAAAATTTATCTTGCTAAGTGAAATGTTTGTTGAGTTTTGCTCCATTTTATGACTTTTCTTGCCACAGTTGTTAAGTGAACCACTGCAGTTGTTAAATGAGTGACACGGATGTTTAAGTGAATCTGGTTTCCTTGTTGACTTTGATCGTCCCAAAAGGGGATCACACGACGCCAGGACATTGTAACCGTCATAAATGTGAATCAATTGCCCAGCATCCAAATTTTGATCACGTGACCATGGGGATAGTGCAACAGATGTGTGAAAAATGGTCATAAGTCTCCCCCCTTTTTTAGCACCATTGTAACTTCGAACAGTCACTAAATGAAATGTAGGATGAGGACTATTTGTACTACCAGCAAAGAAAATGAAGAGCAACATTGACCAATTTCAGCTGTCACTTTAAAGTTACCTAAACAAGTCATATTGACCTGGGCAGGATTTGAAACTGACCAGCAGAGGGATAGACCAGATGCTATTCAAGTAAAAGCTAGGATTATAGGAACAAACAATATGTATTTTCGTTTACCGTATATACTGGAGTATAAGTCGACCCGAATATAAGCCGAGGCACCTAATTTTACACAAAAAAACTGGGAAAACTTATTGACTCGAGTATAAGCCGAGGGTGGGAAATGCAGCAGCTACTGGTAAATTTCAAAAATAAAAATAATTAATTTGGGAAACGATCTCACTATCATGAAAGGTTTAATTGATTCACTAACCCAAAAGAAGAAGATGATGATGACAGCGGGAAGCAGGAGTCACTCTCTTCCCCTCCCTCGGAGGCCCCCTGAGTCAGGAGTCACTACTGCCGGCGCGGCCCCAGTCCCGCCGCCTCGGGAAGGGAAAGGCAAAGCGCTTTTTGCCTTTCCCTTCCCGGCTGGGGCTGTTGGGAGTCGCTGCCGCCGGAGGCTGCGACTCCACACCATTTTTTTTTCAGAGGGGAATCTGACTCGAGTATAAGCCGAGGGGGATTTTTTCAGCACAAAAAATGGGCTGAAAAACTAGGCTTATACTCGAGTATATACAGTAATAGTGTTGCTTGATGTTAACTAGAGTTTGTTGTCTGACTTAGTACATTTCACTGAGCTTCATGCTTCATGCTGTCATGTCATAGGGTTGATAGGGACCTCAGAGATCATCTGGCTCAACCCCTTCCTTAATGCAGGATTACTGGAGGGGTTAAAGAATAGACTGCACAGCCATTTGAGTAGGATAGTGTAAGGCTCCTGCCCTGAACAGGAGGTTGGACTAGAAGACCGCCCTCTGCTTCTGTGTTCTATGATTCTATCGGCTGTGTTCTTTCTAAAAAGCTTCTGATGCTCGTGAGGTAACCAACTTTCACCTGAACTCTCAGAAGGCTTTCTTCTCATTCTTCATTTTTCTTCCTTTCAAAAACACGATTGCTCCAAGGTTGTGACGTTGTGTAACATTGCGCAAGTGCCCCCCTGCTTGAATAGGTTGCTGATTCCTAGTTTAGTGGGATGTGTTAACTTCCCCATCATGCCATGTTCTGTATTGCTGACCTTAGAAATGGGTAAATTTTGTAGAAGCTTTGTGATTCTTAGAACTTAAGTTTGTGGGACATAAAATTTATATATATTTATAGAGAGAGAGTTTTCCACTTTCTCCTCTTGAGTTTCTTCCTGCATAAACGGTTTTTAGTAGAACTGGCTTCTTGTTATTCTTACGATAGTATCTGTATAAGTATCAAAACATGTTTTGCATAAACTTTTGAGGTATCCCAGCTTTTCAACTCTCATCTGCAGATTAGTTTCCCTGAACCTGCTTTTCAGTCTGTAAGGCTGAAGTCTGTGAGGAAAGCAATAACATAAATATAATCTGACAGGGTCCCCATTCAAGTTGTTGTTTTTTCCCCTCCTTCTTCCTCCTCCTTTTCCTCCTCTTCTAAAAATAGTGGAAAGAA